TTTTTTCTATCTTTTATTGGGATTTTTAGGTCATTTTAGTTATGATTAAAGGTAATAACAAAAAATAACCAATGAACTAATCAAGTAAGATGCTGTTTACCTAATAATGAAGGAATTTATTATTACTTTGCTTTAGTGCGATACTTAAAGAAAAATTTAAAGTCATATTTGCTTTACTATGTATAATCTGTATGACTCAATGTTGGTACTGCAGTTGTTCTGTACCATTGTCTTATATTATATATACACTGAAACGTTCAATGTTTTGTGTGGAAAAAAACAATTGACGACTTTGAGAAACTGATACAGCAGCAACAACCAAACACTTTTCATCTTCACTTTATCCACTTAACCGATATCAAAAATGGTTTTTTTAAGAAACTAATTTTTGACACTCTCGTTGTATTTGATTAACAGTTGATTTATTTCTGTTTTGAAAGATTACTACTTACTTGTTACTTGGTGATGCAGACAAGTTCTTAAGATAATTTCAGTTTTATTAAGCTTTTTTTCAACTGTTACTTTTTTTTTTGCTTTTTTGAAAAGCAATTCTAACGTTTTATCGAAGGTCTATTTTGTTAACCTTTGTTTCTTTATTAATGATCATTTCTCAGTTTTACTTGGTTTACACGCTTCAAAACTGTGTTTAGCAATTAATGAGTCCTAAATAAGTAATGATCAATACTTGAAGTCTTGGTAAACAGATTACTTCTTTTCTACTTGCATCTTTCAAGTTTTTCTTTGAGAGGAAAGAAGGAAAAGGTGATGAAAAATAGGGAGGAAAGAGGACGAAAAAAGAGACTGCAAGGAAGGGGGGGTAGAGAAGAAAAATGGTAAGAAACGAAAGAAAAAAGAAAGGGGAAAAGTGAAACGAAAAAAAAAAGAAGAAAACAAAAGAAAAAATTTTGGAAAGAAAAGAGGAAGGAAGAAGAAAGGAGAAAGAGAAGGAAGAAAGGTAGGGAAAAATGAAAAAAAAGGAAGAAGAAAGTGTGTATGTGAAATTGAAAGCAATTAATTATTTGCAGATCGTTTTTGATCGACAAACCTAACTTTTTACTGTTGTTATGTGTTCAGCGGATTAAAGGTTTAGTAAAACTCAGCAAGCAACAACAGTAGCTGTTGAGGATAAACAGCAGTATTGATGCTTTGAAGATAAGAAAGCACTGTTTTAAATACTGAAATGAAATCTTCATTACTTCTTTGCTTAAATGCAGTTTATCTGAAATTTTTGGTTGGGATAAACATTAATTTGGAAGTGTTAAGCAGTTGTTTGGAATCAATTAGTTATAGATGGTAATACTTTGAGGTTAAAAAAGTTTACTATCGTTGTCATCTTGGTTGTGCACTGATACCTGCATTGATTTTATTTTGATGACATTTATTATTATTGTATGTACCGCTTTTCAACTATCTAAAATTTTTCAGCATCCCGAAAAATCACAATTTTTTTGGAAAAAAATAATAATTTATAAAAAAAAAGAAAGGCTTTTTTGGCCAAATTAATTTTTTTCTTTGGTGAAAGATTTAAGCTACTCTTAAGCAGACTTACAGCGATTAAGCAATTTTTCAGTAGAACTGTTTGTTGGCAACGTTATGCGATGTGTAGTAAAATGTGGTATTTTTTCGTTTCTTTTCATTGTAATGTTTGGAAAAATTAGTAAAGGTTTCTGGGATCGCAATACGAAAAGAAGAGAGCAGAAAAAAACTATCTAACGCTTAAATTTGAAGTTTTATAGGAAAAATATTATTCGGAATTCTACATGCTAGAAGAAATAATTAAGACTTATTTGTTTCTGTAATCTGTGCGGAAAGTGAATAATCCTGGAAACTTGGAAAAAAAAAAAAGAACAGAAACTGTACAAACTCAACATAGTTAACCATTTTACTTCAGCATTGGTTTTTTAGAAAAATTTTCAATAATAATTTTTTTCTTTTAAAAAAAGCGGAAATAACGGTACTAAATTTAAGTCTTTCTCCAGCTAGCAGTATTTTTGAGTTTTTGTAAGAAAAATTGGTTATTTTACCAAACTACTTACTTAGCGCTTATTTTATAATCTGCTTCTTAATAATGATTTTTTAACTGTGTTTGTCAGCTTTTAGCAAACTTGGTAAAAATTTTATTGCACATAATAATTTGAAAATTTCTATATTACTATTTAATTGTTTCGATATCTTTGTTTTATCTGCACTTAAGACAGGTGCTAAAAGATGATAATAAAACTTTGGTAGCGCTGATTACTTTTGCTAGTCTAACCAGTTTACTTCTTAAACAGCTGTTTCATTGAGAAGTTAAAGTCAAAACAGACAGATGTCTTGCACACCTTTCCCCAAGCTCCTAAATCATTGTCGACGACAATAAATCTGAACAGCAACAAAAGCAGATGCACTGGTGACACATTTAACAAATCAATCTTAGTAGCTAACAAATAAATAATTTTTAACTGATCAAAATTGAAGTTGAGTATTAATTCGATTGTACTTAAAGGTTACTACTCAAGAAACTTTATTTTGAAATTTAGGACCAAAAGAGTTAAGCCGATTCCTAGAAGTGCAACAATAAAACTTAAAGAAACGAACATAGCAGTTCAGTTTGATCATCTGCCTAGATGCTTTAAGTACTTAAAGGTGTAAAAATATTCATTTTAATAAGAAATGTTAAAATTATTTAAACTTTATTATTTGTTTTAAAAATTGTTCACTTTCTAGTTTTTAGCGCAGATTCTGTAGTGAAACTAGATTTTGCTGACACTCTGTTTTATGCTGGAAACATGCAGTAATTTGTAAGACTTAAGTTTAGACTATTTGTGTATACCTAAGCGTTTGTTCGATGTTTGCTCTCAGTTGTTGCTCTACAATTTTGGTGAACTAAAAAACCGATTAAGTGCTATTGTTAATTGAGACTAATTCTTGCTTTGACTAATGCTATTATATGTTAGCTTTTAGTTACCAATTTTTTTTACAGTTCTTTATTTTTCTGTCTATTCTGATAGCTCCAATGTCAAAAATGTTTTTTAATCTTTAGTAAATCTTTATACCAATCTGCAGTTTTTTTTTTGTGTTAAATTTCATTTATTTCTATTGCAAATACGAAATTAGTGATTCAAGATATAGAAAGATAAAAAAATTTAATTAAAACTGATTTTTCAACAATTTTTTTTATCTGCTTATGTGTTTTTGCAGTGTCAAAAAATATAGGTAGTTGAGGAATAAAAAAAAGAAGACAAGCAATATGTTAATAGTGGTTTGCGAATATTTATTTTAGTGATAAATTTTTAATAATTAAATTATTTTCTTCAGAGAAGCATTTGTAGTGCAAAGCAATAAATTTTATTAAAAACCATAGCTATTACAAAGAAGAAAAAAAAAATTTATGCTACAAATCGCTGAGCCTTTTCACTGTAAACCATAATTTTCTGTGTTAGCATTTGTCTTCATTAGTTATAGACTGGTCACTACACAGTTGTTCCCAGATAGCACTATGCGCTCAGGTGAGCACATTACACTGTTTGTCATAATCCTCTTCTTCCGGATGACAGCAGTTGAGAGCTTAAATGCTTTTTCTTCTGCTCTTGTTGTCTCTCCTTCGTCTTCTTCTTCTTTTATTACCTTTACTTTATCTGATATTTTTATCAATTGAAATTATGACTTTCTTCAAAACTGCTACTTTCTAACCAACATTTTTGAGTTTTCCATGAATAAAGAAGTACAAAAATGATACAGAGAAGACTGATGGTATTATAGTAAACGAAGAAGCATAAAGAAACAGAAACCAAATGTTTAGGTTCTTTTTTGAAGCCTTTTTTTTGCGAAACAACTTTACTATTGAACATATATATCCGCCTTTCCACTGCTCGACTTTAAAATGTTTAATTTTCTGTTCATGTATTGTTTGTTGCAAAATTTTTTGAATTTCTAATTTTTTTTTCTTCTATGCAATGTTCTGCTGTTAACAGTACCAAGAACTGTGTTACAAATGCAAAAAAGCCTAAAGAAACTTAAAAATACTGTATTTTTTGTTGACATATAATTGATTTTTTAAAGTTAATATATTGTCTACTTTG